CAGCCCAGCCACCCACCGCCTTGTAAATCGCAGACCCAGCTCCCCTCAGGAAACATTTCATCAGAGATTTACTCTTCTAGAAAAACATTATACATGTTTAAATGAATGGTAATTACTTCAGACAGGAAAAACTAGACCAGCAGCACGTCTGCTGAGCCAAGTTATTTGTGCGTATGTCTGCTCTTCAAGAGGGGGAGAAACGTCAAAGTCTGATTTCGTGCTTGGCAAAAGATCACCAAGTGACTTCCAAAACCTCAGAGGGGTAAGAAAGTCTCTCCATAGTCTGTCTGTGGGGAGATTTTGGAAGAAGAAAGGGTGAAAAAGCAGCTAAAGAGGGGGCACCTGGAGTTGAACCAGGGACCTCTTGATCTGCAGTCAAATGCTCTACCACTGAGCTATACCCCCTTGCTTTTACACCTCTCACAAGGTCATTTTAAAAACATTTCTATAAGACTGACACCTTTTCCTGCCCACTGGCTAGATTCTTACCCCTGAGCGCCCCCTGTGCACTTTAATGTGCCTGACAGAGGGTGTACAGGGACTTCAGTATAATAAATTATGACAAATATAATTACTACAGACAAGAACAGAGAGAAATCCATACAAACAGGGAGGAGTTACTCCCACCGTGCACAACCCCTGTGCTTCACTCATAGTCAGGGCTTCACTACATTGAATGCTGAAGCTCACAAGACCCAAGATAGCTCTCCCCTTTTCCTTCTAGGATGAATTTAGGCAAAAGGAAGGTGAAAGGAAAAGAAAACAAGGGAGCAGCTGGAGTTGAACCAGGGACCTCTTGATCTGCAGTCAAATGCTCTACCACTGAGCTATACCCCCTTGGCACAGCATGTTTGTAAGGATATTTTAAAAACGTTTCTACAGAGAGACAAGTTTTTCCATCCACTGGTTAGATTCTTTACCTGGACAGCCCCCTGTGCACCTTAGTGCACCTGCCAAAGGCTGTACAGAGAATTACTATAGACAATAAAAAATGGAGACAAGTACCCACAGACAGGGAGGAGTCACTCCCCCAGGGCACAACCCCTGCACTTCCCTCATAGTCAGGGGCTCGGTATGTTGAATGCCGAAGCTCACAACCAACCCTCATAGCACAGCTCAAGCTCACAAGACCCAAGCAGAGCTCTCCATCTTCTTTCAGTGACATTTTTTTGGCAAAAGGAAGGTAAAAATAAGAAGACAAGAGGACAGCCAGATTTGAACTGGCGACCTCTTGATCTGCAGTCAAATGCTCTACCACTGAGCTATACCCCCTTGGCACGGCATTTTCACAAGGTCATTTTAAAAACATTTCTATGGAGGGAAGTTTTTCGATCCACCAGTTAGATTCTCTACATTGACAGCCTTCTGTAATGCACCTGCCAGAGGGTGTACAGAGAATTACTGCAATCAGAAATGGAGACAAGTACCCCCAGAGGAGGAGTAGTTACTCCCACAGGGCACAGCCCCTGCACTTTCTTTATAGCTGGGGGCTCAGTACCTTGAATGCTGAAGCTCACAAACCGACCCTCATGGCACAGCACAAGCTCACGAGACCCAAGAGAGCTCTCCATCTTCTTTCTGTGACAAATTTAGGCAAAAGGAAGGTGAAAGGAAAAGAAAACAAGGGGGCACCTGGAGTTGAACCAGGGACCTCTTGATCTGCAGTCAAATGCTCTACCACTGAGCTATACCCCCTTGGGAGAACACCTTTGTAAGGACATTTTAAAAACATTTCTGCAGAGAAACACAAGTTTTTCTCTCCACTGGTTAGATTTTCTTCACTTGGCAGCCCTGTGTGCCTCATACACCTGCCAAAGGTCGTACAGAGGATTACTGCAGACAGTCAAAAACAGAGACAAGGACAGACAGGAGTTACTCCCCCAGGGCACAGCCCCTGCTCTTTCCTTTTAGGTGGGGGCTCAGTATTCTGAACACCAAAGCTCACAGACCAACCCTCACTGCACAACACAAGCTCATGAGACTCAAGCAGAGCTCTCCATCTTCTTTCTAGGATGAATTTGGGCAAAAGGAAGGTTAAAGAGAAGAAAAAAGGGGGCACCTGGAGTTGAACCAGGGACCTCTTGATCTGCAGTCAAATGCTCTACCACTGAGCTATACCCCCTTGACACAGCACCTTTCACAAGGTCATTTTAAAAACATTACTACAAGAAAGACACATTTTTGTCCACTGGTTAGATTCTTGCCCTTGAGAGCCCCCTGTGCACCTTAATGTGCCTCACAAAAAGCGTACAGACACTTATGATGATAAATATTATTCCTACAGAGAATTAATACACACAAAGAGGGAGTTAGTCACTCGCACAGGGCACAGCCCCTGCACTTCCCTCATAGTCAGGGCCTCAGTACCTTCAATACCGAAGCTCACAAACCAACCCTCACAGCACAAGCTCTCCAGACCCAAGCAGAGCTCTCCATCTTCTTTCTGTGACATTTTTTGGCAAAAGGAAGGTGAAAATGAGAAGAAAATAAGGGGGCACCCAGATTTGAACTGGGGACCTCTTGATCTGCAGTCAAATGCTCTACCACTGAGCTATACCCCCCACCTGCCCGCCAGGAATCTCCCCATTAATTACCAACTGACACAAACATCCAACAATTAATCCTGGGACAAAAAATTTATGGAATACTCATCCCTTTCCTCACCAACAGCCCACTGCCAGTCCTCTTCTCTTCTGGGTCTCTGCTTCTTCACCTCTTCCCAGCACCTGATCAAACGGAGGACAGAGCCTGCAGACAGTTTTGAGGAAAGTATCGAGGTAAAGAGCTCCAAACCAACATTTTCTGGATAAAAAGAAGGAAAAAGGAGGGGGCACCCGGATTTGAACCGGGGACCTCTTAATCTGCAGTCAAATGCTCTGCCCCTGAGCTATACCCCCACCTGCCCAGGTGTGCCAGGTACAGCTCCTCGTGGGCAGTGATGAGGCAGCTCAGCTGCATTCCACCACCTACACTCACCACACCTGCAGCACTGCCTCTCCCACACAACTGCCCTCTCATTACCCCTCATTTTACTTTAAACCCCACCCCAGCTGTCTCACTGCACTTAGAGACAGGTTCCAGGCACCCAAGCTAATGAATTCCCAGTTATCTTGCTCTAAAACATCCCATAATGGAGAAGGCACAAAGAACACTGACTTCAAAACCCCGCTGAAGGCCCTGGGCTGCACCTCTGTTTGGTCTCAGGGTGTGCCCTGCTGCCCAGGGGATACCAAAACCAAACACCCAAAGCATTTAATCCAACAGTCACACCGTTCCCTGCCTTGGAAAAAGTCTTTACAAATCAAAAGTCCGGCAGAAGCTGTTAAAATAGCTCAAGGGGGAACAGCTTTATTTTAGTGGGGGTTCCTTACTGATAAGCGTCTCTCTGCATCTCTCCCCACGTCTGAGGAACAGCTGCTGTGTCAACAGTGGACTGGAAAGACATCGACTCGGAGTGTTGTGCTGACAGTCAGCCCACCCGTTGCACCCTTCCGGGGGTTTCAGGTCTGCAGGGAAGAAGCCACCAGCTCCCACATGCTCCGTGGAATGGCCTGTAAAGAGAGAGCAGCCCTCAGTCCAGGTCAGTCCTCCTCCAGGTTTCCCCTCCCCAGCCTTCGCCAGTGCATGGCTCCTGATTATCCTGTGGGAACATCTGAGAAAATTTTTTAGGTCATAATATTTTACAGATTCGCATTGGTTAAGCCAAACAGATGCTTAAATACAACCCACTGCAAGACCCTGCTGCTCCTGTCCATCGTTACCTGGGTTTGTGCTACAAAATCTGAGGCTTTGCTCTCCCCACCACCCTCTTTCTTCCCCAATAACCTCTCCAAACTGGAAGCACCAGGAGCAGCACAGAAGTATCTGAAATCCCTAAGGGTGCTGTGGCACCAGCTCCGTGCCAGCCCAGACAGACGCAAGCCCAGCCAGTCCAGGGGCCAGTCAGGGGGAGCAGCACCCCACTGCCTGCCCCACAGCCCCCAGCAGCACGTGCACAGGGGTCACTCTGGGTGTCACGGGGCACCAGGGACAATAGCCAGGACAAAGTCACTCCTGTTTTCACTTCTAAGCCCAGGTACACAGCAGGCCCCCAGCCGTCCTTGCTCCGGAGGGGCAGAGCACAGGCAGAGCCGCAGCTCACATCCAAACACCTCCCTGGCTCTGCTTCAGCCAGAGGAACACCGTGAAAAACACAAAAAGCTTCGCGTAGGGTAAGGAGCTGCTGCACAGACATACCTTCAGCTCCAATTGTGAAGCCTTTCCCCCATCTGGAAAGTTCAGCTCACCTCTTCGACCTGCAGTTAATGATCTCATCTGTTCACCGCTGCTGGAGGGTTTAGGGGCATGTTCTCAGCCACAACCTCAGCCAGCAGTGGTAGCTCAGTGTGTCCTTGCATGGCTGCAGCAAGGTCTAAGAAATATTCTTTGGAGCCCAGTGACTGAATGAACTCTGCGGCCCAGGGTACAGACCAGCTTCAGGCAGCGTTTCTCCCCCACGCAGAATCAGAGCGGGATCTCTACGCAGTTCAGTTGCCCACTCTGGAAGAAAATTCCAGACCTACACTTTGGAGAGCCCCTGTATGAAGGTTTCTTGTAGAAGGGTTTCCACAGACACCTCTCAGTTTGTATCTGTACGTACCTAAACTGCATCAGTTCGGTCAGAACAGCTAAACTTTCAGTCATTCCAGCGCAACCCCCTGCCAGATATTTCCCAGCAGAACAGGAACCTGCCTGAGAGATTTATCCTTGGATATCACAACTCCAGATCCCTTTTTTCTGGCTGAAGCATACACCCACACTATTTATTTGGTATAAGGACTTTTATTTTCTCTCTGGGAAGATGAACACGTTTATGCAATGCTTCCTGCGTTGGAGGCTATCCTGGGCCACAGATCCGCACACTCCTTAGCCACAGGGCCTGTGATCGCCGAGCCTGGAAGAGAGCAGACGACAGCCGCGCATCAGAGGAGCAAGGAGGTGCAGAGATGCTTCAGGGCAACATTTTACACCAACACCAGCTCAGAGTGACTGTGCTTGAGTTTGAGGAGAACCTGTGTCCCTTTGCACACGAGATCACAGCTCTCCGACCAGCAACACCAACCCTCCACCCCTCCCCGCATTCCCCATTTCACCCAGTGCAGCAGGATTCTCATCCGTACCTTTCATTTCACCTTTATTATTTACTATCACTCCTGCGTTGTCTTCAAAATAGAGGAACACCCCATCTTTTCTCCTATATGATTTCCGCTGCCGAATGACCACTGCTGGGTGGACTGCAAAGAGAAACAGGCAGCTCAGGATCACAAACATCCTTTTAAGCACACCCCAGAGGAGCTGTTCTCCTGCAGCATCTAACTCGATGCATGGGTTTGGGTTTTTTTTTTTCCACTTTTCATATCTACAGTGCTCTGCTAAGAGAGATAACAGTTTACAGTCTACACTACACTTTAAACTGACTCTGTAACACTTACAGCTGCATCCACACTCGGATAATTCCATGTTTTTCTATTTTCCCAACTTTATTTCTAAAAATTCCCTTAACTCACAGACAATATTCACCAAGAATCCCTCCCTCTCCCTCCGGAGCAGCAGCAAACCACAGCAGAATGTCACAGCGCTGATTGAAACGAACAGCACGAGCTGCCGCTTCACCCAAAAGCGATGCCTTTCCTCTGCCCTTCCACGACAACTCGCAGAGCCACCGCACACAGACCCAACGAGTGCTTTTCAGAAGGGTGGAGGTGCCGCTCCGGAGATTCAGCGCCTGCTTCTGCATCAGTTTGAGGGAGAAACCACGCTCCCCTCTGGAGAGCAGCCCCTCCATCCCTCACAGGATGGACACAGCAGCCAGGCAGCTCTCGACAGGAGACACCACTCCTCTCCGCACTCACCCTTTTTCCGCAGCTCGGGCTTGCCCTTCTTGACAGTGGCCATCACCATGTCGCCCACACCAGCCGCCGGCAGCCGGTTGAGGCGGCCCTTGATGCCCTTCACGGAGATGATGTACAGGTTCTTGGCACCTGGAGGGAAGCACCGTCAGTGACCGCA